TAACTCTCGCATTTCATCCTCAACATCCTAAAATAGAACGATTCTTTCTCGCAAATAATACAAGTATTTTCTGCATGTACGGGGTATTTCATGGGTGTGTATCAGAGATCACATTTCCCCCAGAATAATGGACACCCACTCTCTAACATGCCCCAGGGCAAATTCGCTGCTATGTGCCCCTCCTCCCACTTTGGGGGCATCTGGTTGCTATGCCATTACTTACATCGTATTGAACGTCACGGGAATGCGCTGGTGGAGTGACAAATAAAGATGGATCAGTACCCAGATAGCTGCAGTAGATATAACCAGTCTCGTCTAGGGTAACAATGATGCCTTTTAAATTCCTAGAAATATACACATCGATCACGTCATGACTTGTACAGCTAGAAGAGTGATTGCAAGTCCAACAATTTTCTTCCTGGGAGCACAACCTGGAGACAAAAATTTCCTGCAGACCAACGGAGTATTTTTGTGCTAAATCTGCATGTGCATAAACATATAGTGTTCTAGCTGACCATGGTTTTAAATTCAAGGAATAATGTTTGTCAACCATATGTTGTTGCGGCCATAGCGAGACTTGGGTGTTAAGGTTTCCTTCAAATTTTCAATAGCAAATCTTCATTCAACTAAATTTCCTGCAGCTGTTTAACATTTCCTGCGAGCAGTGCTTGCCTATTTTTTCCACCCCTGGATGTCAGTGGACAGGTATTGTAGCACTTTTTCCTCAATTATTTTAAGACCTTGAGTAGAGGTCTGACCAAGGATTGAACGCAGGTCTCCCAGCTTGAAAGACAAGCGTTGACACAACAAGAACCCACAAACAGTTCGTCTATGTCTATACGTTACCGTTAAATAGAAAGAAAAGAAAACGTACGCAAAGTTAGCGACTTTAGCATCAACAGGGATATGAGGAAGCTGTGCTGCCCAGGATAACGTCACATTTTGATAAATCATCAATGTTTTACTGTGCGTTCCGACCATCAGATTAAACGTGTCTTCTTTAACTACAAATAAAGAAAAAGTAAATTATATAATGGTACTGTAGTTTAAATGGTCAAAATAACTGTATCTATAACTCTATCTAAACTGCTCCAAGAAAATACAAATGTCTAAAAACAAGCGCACACAGGAACGAAATGTAATGTCTCTTATGTAGGTGTTAGTACACTTACATGATCCATACGGCAAGATACAACTGGCATTGTACTCAAATTTTTTCATGAATAGTAGAGCGCCATTACATTGTAGACAATAGAAAGATCTTTCACCTGTTCAAAAAAAATAATTGACCAAGGCTTAATATTTTGTCCCATACCCGTGTTAAAAGCGGCTTTCTGATTGGTTTAGAGCAGGTGAGCTTGTCGTCGAGCTCACCTGCTTTTTGCCGAACTCACCTGCTTTTCGCCCGAACTCACCCGCTAAACTGCTTACGTTGCAATAACAATAACAAATATGGCGGACAAGATTTAGCCGATAAACCTAAACTTTAAAGAACTTTTTTCTGTGACTAACATACTGAGACTGAAGAAAAACCAAAGAAAAAATGCAGTAAAGGTAACCTAGACGTAGATAAAGAAGTATTTTCTTGCTCAGTGATTTTTTTGGCCGGGAAAATGTTCACAAAACATCGACGAATATATCGCGAAGAGCTACAAATGTGTGTATGGCTCGGTGTATGGGATAAAAACCAAACGTACTTGCAGGTTCGGTGAGTCCGGGATTGGACGCACCTCGGGTGGCTGGAAGTTTCCCGAACTCACCTCGCTTCGCTCGGTAAGTTCGGGAAACTTCCAGCCACCCTCGGTGCGTCCAATCCCGGACTCACCTCCCTGCAAGTACGTTTGTTATAGAGCTGTAATCAACTGAGCTACAGAGGCCAGTTGTCGAGCTCTAATCAACTGAGCTACAGAGGCCAGTTGTCGAGCTCTATAACCGCAGGTTCATGTATAAATCGCAGATTCGATAGAGGGCCTACAGTCGCTTTTTTTTCAACTGCTCCTGGTTAGATCTAATAAATGTTATAAAATTGACATTCGGCATTTCCATCAAAATCCCAAACTCACGCAGGGAATATAAAACTATACCAAACTTGGGTTTGGGCACCGCCATTCATGCATAACAACCCCCACCACCACATCCCCCTCCGCCCCCTTCACTTTTCTAATGGCCCCTCCCTTAGACATGGATTAGACATTATGTTTCAATGATCCATGGGGTTTAAGGGTATAAAAATTATATATTGAAAACCGGCTTAAAGGATTCATATGACGTATGGATCCAGAATTAAGATTGTTTTCTACTTGGCGAATAGGATTTCTGAATTACGGACCAATGTCCACCGAAATGACCCGAAATAGCCTGAGAACGAGGCACGAAGCAAGCACTTGGAATTATTGTTATGTCAACTAGATAAAGTAAATGAATGAAGGGAAGCGAAAAATTCAATTCGGCAATGTATTCGTGAATGAAAACAATTTGCTGTGTGCATACTTTTCGCGGCGAATTTCTTAGCTAACCTATTACAATATTGCCGAAATTATTTTTCGCTTCGCGCAAACAAATTCGGCTGGGGGAAAACCGACTTTAGGCGGAACAAAACTACTCATTCCCACAGATTTGTCGTACTTGGTTTCTAAAACCCTCTCATGTTCGGGCCCTTCGGGAATAAATATAGTTAGAAAATGTTAGTAAAAATAAACATAAAATTTAAAACCACAAAATTTCGACCTCAAAGCGCGGAAAACACAAATACCACTATCAAATATAAACAAAAAGCATTACAAGTCAATTTAAACAAACGTGAGAGGCCACCTTAATCTAATTCGTGAAGCAATTTCATTGATGACGAGTAATTCCGCGAACAAATTTCATTTAATGACGTCATTACAAATTAAAAATTGGTTTTTGTCAGTATGTCGGCTGAACTGACTCTTTATGAACCATGCCAGATGAAACGCTAGAAAAGGCCAGGAAAACATCTCAAGAAGAAGCAATTTCATTGATGACGTCAAACAATTCCGAGAACAATTTAATTTAATGACGTCATCGCTGATTTAAATCATATATGAGTATATCTTGAGCCAAACTGGCTGTTTTTCCTGGCTACTCTTATGAACTATGCCAGATGAAACGCTAGAAAAGGCCAGGAAAACATCTCAAGACAGTGAAATGGAGAGACAGAGTGAGAGTGAAACTCCACTTACGCTTGAAATGGAGGAAGAAACAAGAGAAAAACCACTTGCGTATGCAAAACTTGTTGTCACACACTCGAAAACAGCTTTTGGTAAGTGAATTACGCCGCATTATTATATGGCACGGCGGTCCATCTACAAAATGCAGCATTTTGATTGGTTCCTGAGCGGTCGGTAAAGGCCCTGTCACACTATTGCGTATGAGAGAAGCGTATGAGAAATTAATGAAATAATTTTATACGCACATAAATCCTTTGAAATGCAAGCGTATGAGTACCGTACATCTGGCGTACCTCTAGCGTATTCAGCGTGTGCCTAGAGTATGCTTATCGTATAAACCATAGGTCCGATACGCACAAAATTTTTGAACATGCTTAAAAAAATTTTCTGCCTCGCCGTATGCCACCGTATGCGACCGTGCTTGAAACGTATACAACCTATGCCGAGTGATATTTTTCATACGCTGGCATACGCTAGTACGATACGCAATAGTGTGACAGGGCCTTAACCTATAGTACTCACTTGATCGCATAGTATGATTATTTAGATGAACGGCTCCGAAGAAAAACATAAATCACTCTTTCCCCAGTAAAATTAAAAGACTATAAGTACGTGACCTTGGCAAAACTTTTATATAAAAAAAACTTACTATTCCACTCTAATTTGTGCTAATACGTTGTTTAACATATGTAATATATAAAAACGCTTTTTACTATAACACTTAAAATGCTGACAGAGTGATACTTAAAACTTGCTGCCATTGAATGACTTTTTCGGCGAACTAAAGTGAGCGCCATTGAACGGCTTTTTTGGCGAACTAAAACTTGCCGCCATTGAACGGCTTTCTCGGCGAACTATTTTAACTTGTCTATGAATGCTTTGTTAATCGTATGCAGGGAAGAATCATTCATCTGTGCCGGGTTTTACCCCCCCCCCCCTTCAAACATACATTTTTGAATTTGCTTTGCTTATTTTCGTTTCAAGGTATTGGTGTCGGTATCCATGTTTTTATGCTATTTTTAACTGTGATTTTGATCCTAAGTGGTTATGATATCATGAAGCCGGACTTCACAACGCTACCTTTGTCTCTGGACGAAGACTCGACGAAACTACGAGCAGATGCTTGGCAAAATGTCCACACGGATGATTCCATTACGCCCAGCTCCTCCGCGACATCGGGCCAAAAAGAGAGGAGCATCTTGTACATGCCTTTGGAATTGTTTTACGAATCTGAGAGTGGGAATGTATTCACGAGAGAAAACCTGTTGAAAATTCAAGAAAACGAGGATGCTCTTTTCAGTGATCCAGAATACAAAAGTCAACTTTGTCAAATGCAAACTATTGGCTCAAACCAAACATGCAAACTACCTTTATCTATCATAAGATTTTTCGACGGGACTTATAAAGGTATTGATGCCACGTTTGAGGATCCAGATTTCAACAATATAATTACAGTTCTAACAAAAGCGAAAAATATCACAATGACTTCAGCTATCTTAAATTTTCATATCGGAAGAGACGCTGTTATTGACAGGGATAGAAACATAGCAAGCTCTAAGTACACAAGATCTCTCTTGTACTTTGGCTGGCCTTTGAAAGGATATAAATCCACAGAAAATAAAGACAACGAGCAAAGGAAAAAGCTAGACAAAGCGATAGCTGACTTATACACTGAGAGATTGGACGAAATCTACAAAGATAAACTTGGTGATGTGAATTTCTACTATTTTAATTTGGCACTCATGACGAAGGCGATAGAATCACAAGTTATTTACGATATGGCTCTCGCCATTGCTAGTTTTATCTTCATATTTGCATTCATGTTGCTACAGACTGGTTCGCTTTGGATCACATCATGGGGGATTTTCAGTATAATATCCAGTTTTAACATTGCTAATTTCATCTACCGTGTCGTATTCGACTACAATTACATCGGTATATTTCATGTGCTTGCCATTTTTATAATTTTGGGCGTCGGATCGGATAACATCTTCGTTTTCATGGATACCTGGAAGGAATATGGCCGAAACCACCCCAACTCTGACCTTGTTACTCGACTCTCCGTGGTGTTTAAGAGTGCTGCGAAAGCTACGTTTATTACTTCCCTTACAACAACCATCGCATTTCTATCAAATGTACAATCACCACTCCTTGCAGTCTCATCTTTCGGCCTTTTCTCAGCTATATTGGTTGCGGTCAATTACGGTTCCTGTACTTTGTTCTTACCGACAGTCATCATTTTCCATGAACAGAGAAGAAAGGGTCGTTGTTGTTTCTGGGATATGTGCCGTCGAACTAGACCTGAACAACCAATAGAAATTCCTGAAATTGGAGAAGAAACGGAGAATAACGAAATACCCTCGAGCAACAATAAAGGAAATTTTGTGATCCAATTTCTTGGTGGTTGGTTCTATGAAAAAGTCATCACGCACAAATATGTACGCTGGGGTGTTTTGATGTTTTTCTTTGTCATGGTTTGTGTCTTCCTGGGATTCGCAGCTAAACTAGGACCTAATAAAGAAGAGGTAAGTCCAGTGGCGAAGTTAGCCATGGCAACTGCTCATGCTATGCTAATAAACCTGCATTTAAATAGGTTCAAGACAATACATTTCTAAAGGTTTGAATAATGCAAATCATTAAAAATTGCATAGCATGTTTGTTGCAAATTTGTTGCTATGACCAGCTTCGCCACTGAGAAAGTCAACAGTAAAGAATTTTCAATGATCAATTTTGTCTAATTCAGGGGAGTGAGGCGGATTTTTGAAACTTAAATATTCGACATCCCCAGGAAGAAATCTTTAAGGCCTGCATGCACGATTATTCGTAATGATTGTCATCATGGCGTGTGGAAATTACTGCTCATGCTGCTCATTATTTAGTTTATGACGAAATTTCTTTTGTTTGATTACATACGCCAGAATAAGAATCGTATACGACTAATTATATCGTCTCAGAATGGAGACCATACAAAAAGCTGACTCGGCCAAAAAAACATGGCGCCGCCACGCCATTGTTCGCAATGATCAGTCATCAAAATGGACTCGCTATGTTCCTAGCCAGTGCTTCGAAGTGCTCTTATGAGGGACATTCACCTCCCTGAAGGTTCGCCATTTTAAATATTCTCAGGGGGGTGAATTCCTCTCATAAGCGCACTGGCTATGAACATGGCGACAGCATTGCAATGATTACGTCAAGAACATTACATATAGTCAAGACCAACAAGTCTATGGCGTCAAATCTCCGCCAAAATTCATGTTCGTATTTTCAACATTAACGTTTGTATTTTCAACATCAACGTTCACATTTTCAACATCTTTCTTCTCATTTTCAACATCAATGTTCGCATTTTCAAAATCTTTCTTCGCATTTTCAACGTCAATGTTCGCATTTTCAACATCAACGTTTGTACATTTTCATTACTAACTTGAATTTTGGCGGATAGTATGGCGTCAAATCTCCGCCAAAATTCATGTTTGCATTTTCAACATCAATGTTTGTATTTTCAACATCAATGTTCACATTTTCAACGTCAATGGTCGCATTTTCACAACATTGTTTGCATTCTAAATGAATTTAAAACCCAAAATTCATTCGTATTCGCACTTCCGCCGTGCCCCATGACTCAATGCCTGTGGTTGGGTTTAAACCACGAGGAAACAAATTTATATTTTAGAGAATTCTCGACTGTGAAATCAATATTAATTCTATTCCAAATGAATTAGGTTCTGCTCGAACAACTCTGCTCCAACTTGCAGAAAGACTAAATACTTTGCAAAGGAACACTCAACATAGAGTTAAGCTGTGTTTGTCTTCATCAATAATTCTCATCAATAATTCATATTGCATCTCATGCATGTATTATTCAAATTTGTATATAAATGTTTCCATCCTGCGAGAACAAAAAATAATATGCTAATTCTTTTCAAACGAAATATGACGTAATTCAACACGTCAATGTTATATCTGTTGAAAAAAAGCTAAACCTATGACAAACATGTGTTACTATTGTTGCAACTGACCCCTATGGAAAGGTCTTCAACCCGCTTTGGAATGGCATTTTCAAGCTTTAACCCCTCTGGAAACAGACTGATTAGCCCCCTTGGAAATCAAGGTCTTTGACAGGGGGGGGGGGTGCGGGTATTAAATGCACTCAATAGCCCAATGGTCCCTTACTCCCTTTGGGGTAAATTTTATAAAACAATTTTATAAAAAATATGACAATTAACAGATGTTTGTCATAGGTTTAGCTTTTCTTAGCAAATATAACATTGACGTGTTGAACTTACGTCATATTTTGTTTGAAGAAAATTAGCATATTATTTTTGTTCTCTCAGGACGGAAACATTTATATACAAATTTGAATAATACATGAGATGCAATATGAATTATTGATGAAGAATTATTGTATGGCGCGGTCAAACAGCTTGTACCTCTATGTTGAGCGTTCCTTTGCAAAGTATTTAGTCTTTCTGCAAGTTGGAGCAGAGTTTTCAGGATTCATATTGATTTCACAGTCGAGAATTTTCTAAAATATCAAATTTATTTTCTCGTGGTTTAAATCCAATCACGCTAACAACGTCTGCGCAGGAGGCTAGCCGGAAGTGGAATACGAATGAATTTTGTTTTTTAAATTAATTGAGAATGCAAACAATGTTTGAAAATGCGAACATTGACGTTGAAAATGCGAACATTGATGTTGAAAATGCGAACATGAATTTTGGCGGAGTTTTGACGCCATGCAATCCCCCAAAATTCAAGTTAGTAATGAAAATACACAAACGTTGATGTTGAAAATGCGAACATTGACATTGAAAATGCGAAGAAAGATGTTGAAAATGCGAACATTGATGTTGAAAATGCGAACATGAATTTTGACGGAGATTTGACTCCATACAAGTCGGCATTCCATATAAGGTAGCTCTATTCGGCGGATAGTCCCGGACTTCTGAAGAAAATATTTTCGCCTGTTAGCAGGGAGTGCGAATTGGTTTTCGAGCAAAGTTTGCAAAAAAATTCTGAAAGTGAAAAAAAAAGTTTTATTTTTATATTTCATTGATTTAATTTGATTTAAAGCAATCTTGTTCCCCGAGCCTGCGATCCTCGGGAAGGAACGCGAGGCTCTGGGATAATCCGTTTCAGGGAGGAATCTGATTGGCCGTTGAAATGGATGCGTAGTTCAATCTTAGCCAGGATTCCTGGCTTCCGGCAACGGATTATCCCAGAGCCTCGCGTTCCTTCCCGAGGATCGCAGGCTCGGGGAACGAGATTGGATTTAAAGTATTTGAAATGATGAGTTTGAATCGAATTGATTATTGACTTAATCGGAATTAATTTACTAGTTTGATTTGAATTTGTTGATATGATTGAGTGCTTCTGATTGAGGTCAATCGATTTCACACGGTGATATTGGTAAATAGTAATTCACCGTGGCTGTCTTATGCGAGACAAATATTCATCCCAGATTTGGCTGAACCTTTCATTGAACATGTAACAAAACACTTGTTTCGTTTTCATAGACTCAGGTGTTTGGGGAAAACACAAACTGGGGCAAAGTTGCTGATATGAGAAAGAGTGCATTTCTGCCAAGTCAAGAAGATAATGTTCTTGTTGTGCATATTATCTGGGGTTTGAAGGAGCAAGATCGCAGTGATTGTCATATGACTGATTACAAATGTAAAGGAAGAACAGTTTTTGATAATAGCTTTGACATGAACCCACCACCATGCCAAACTGCTTTACTGGTAAGTTTTGTCTTTACTTATATAGGCAATATAGCCTCCTACAGAACTTTGACATTTAAATTAACTGCGTGGGTTTCAAGTGATGACTAAGTTTGTCACCCACCCCGAGATTTTTCCGCTTACTCCAGCTCTGCTGTGTAGTACTGAACACTGGACCATTAATTAAGGGAAGAAAAAAAAATTACATTGCTTTCTCTTTAGCTTCGGAAACCCATGATGACTCCTGTTCTGTCTGGGTGACTAATCCAAATATATCCAGAACAGTCATATTTCTCGTACGCGTAGATTCCAAGGAATATCCGTGACGTATTTATCACGTGATCTGTCATTTATTTCAGAAATTCTGTGGGGAACTTCAAACTCTGCCGAGTGAGCAAGAGAAGAAGCTACGGTTGAGACGCAATGAAGTTACAGGCAAAGTTGAAGTACAGTGTGTTTTTAGCAGACTGGATGAGTGGATGGAGGTATATCGCACACTTGCTTGCTCCCATGAGTAATAATATATTTCTGAGATGTAAAATAAGAGCTCAGAAAATGTACATTTTCAAGTTGTTTATTTTGTTGACATTTTGTGTTTAATCCACGCATGATTCACGCCGGCTCGTATCCGTGCCGATTAATCTTTGCACTTATTGATGAAGCAATATTCCACGTAATTTGCTTTTCTCATTCCATTTACTTTTCGGAATCTCGCTTTAGACTAAAAGTGAACCTTTGTCATGCTGTAGTTGTATATGAAGATTATATATCAGATTAACATTTGCCACGATCAAAATAGGGCCTCCAGAAGCAACATCAAGCGGCAGGGACAGGCATTTCAAAGGGGTACTTACTTCCAAGGCCGTAAGCGGGATTTTTTCACGAGGGAGGCAGTAAGGTCCCAGATACCCAAAGAATAATTAAGTTTAATGTCATTCTAAAAATCGTAAATATAGTTTTCTCTGGAGGCAGTTGCCTCCTGCCCCCGCTGTGTACGGCCCTGCTTACTTCTGGGCACTTGGTGTACATATTCTCGATTACGTACTTGTAGCTAATACAATTGGACAAATTTCTGCTTTGATCGGAACAATTTGTTGTTCTTTCAGCACGCCGTAAAAGAATAGAATGCGCTGTATACAAAACAACATGACTGCTCGTGAATTATTTAGGAAGTTTGATGTGTTTTCACAGGTAGAAACCTTGGTAACGTTTCTGAGAGGAATTCGAAATTTCAAATTTGAGCTAAATTGCTTGAAAAAGTTCTCAATTTCGATTCATGTGAATAACGCACAGTTCTGGTGAAAAAAGGCAAACTACTGTCCCCTGCTGCCCAACGTGCTGCCCCTGCACTGTTTTGGAAACCGGAGCAGCTGCCCTCGTGGCTTAGGTGCCCCTAGCCACGACCTAACATGGCTAACGTCTCCGTTAGGCGCTTGGCCTTAAATCAGCTGTTATTTTCTTTATTTACAGATAGAAAGTAACAAGACGAAATATCCTGCTGGTTCTGACTTCACACTCCCTACAAGTGGCGAGAAGATAATACCACTAATGGCCGCTAACCCTCAACTATACAACGTCTCAAGGTTGCCCGATACATACTACAGGTTTTTTGAAGTTGCACTTGGGTACTTCATCTTTGATGGAAAATCACCTGAATATGCAAATACTTATGATTTCGAAGTGTACAGTCCATTGGTTGGTGGATCTTTGGATCAGGGCATTACAGGAGGAACCAACTATATCCTCATGCAAGGTATACTTCCATATTGTTTATTGTTCTCGAAATCGTAGATTAGTAACAATGGTAATGCTAATAATGGAGTCATTGAATCATTTTCTGAGAAATAATTTCTGACTGTCCTAATCATGAACAATATACTGAGTAACTTGGAGCGGTCCTCATGAGTGGATTAAGCTAATGTTCGGGAAAATGAACGGTCTTCTCCACCTAAAAAAACCTGATTTGGTAAAAATATTTCTGATATGGACTGCTTTTAGTGGGCAGGCACGGTTCTATTTTCAGTAAATGTAAATGGTGTTGTCCGTAGAATTTTCTTCGAGTGTATCAGGGGTGTCCAGAATGGCAGATCCCTTGAAATCCCTTGTGCTTATGGAATCTGCAGTTATAGAATTTCTTGCATTAGGTATGTACCCTAATTAATTCCACAGACAGGTCCAAAGTTATTCTGTGTTTGTTTTCATCCCTCAACAAATTCATCCTGGGGAGGAGAAATCAGTTTCGAATATACACCGCCTGTCTTCACCTAGAAAGCGCTTAGTGATAACATTAGCGAGCTTAAGCAAGCGACCTTTTGTCAACACGGAAGTCACCCGAAAGTGATCTAACTAAATTTGGCGGCATTTCATGATCATAGTGCTGGTGTAAAGAGGCAAAAAACTTTAAAAATCTTATGTTTTGTCATATGTGTTGAAGATTACCACACATGATACGAGCACAGTTTTCAATCCAGTCCCCCCTCGGCAATCTGAACGTCCGTGTTGACAAAAAAGTCGCTTGTTTCAGCTCGTTTCTATAGCTGAGATGAAATTGCTCCTCTCTGATGTCGCTAACATACAGCAGAATGTTCACATACCCCATGACAAATGACAGTTGCTGGAACTCGGCCTATCTTTGCGCAAAATAGGCAAGTTGTTGGAAAGTTTGCTGTAATATAGCTAAAAATCACCAATTTTGAGTTTAAATTGCATATTTATGACCCCATCACCTGAAAGGGTGAGTTCCGCCACTAAGACATGGAATGTCGTGAATGAATGAATGAATTGATTAATTTTGTTTTGTTTTTGTTTTCCAGGCAATAAGTATGGTCATCGTCTAAAGTTTTTAGCCATAGCACTAAACACGACAATAAACCCTCGTACTTTATCTTATAAAGAAGGATTACCTATCTACCGTGACTGGGAAGATTTTGTTAATAAACACGTGAGTAAGATATGAGAACAAACTAAACGCAAACAAAATTATGCGCTGCTTTTAAAGCGCGCCGTTTTTAACCATTGCGAACTTGAGATGGACTGGGACCGAGTATTCAAAAGTCACAAAATGGGGAAATGAACTCAACCACTGGAAAAGGCAGTAGAAAATGAGTAGGCATACAAACTTGGACCACATTTGGATACACAAATATGAATACTGAATTTTAACAAGTAGCGCAGATTACTATGAAATGTATGTAATTTACGGACGTCTCTCCAGTTCAATGTATTTTATAGCAATTTTCCAAATTTTTGAAAGCTTCTCATACATAACTGTAAGTTTTACTACAGTTTGATACATGTTAATTGTGAGCTGATTGCTCCAGTGTTAAAGTTCATTTCTTCATGTTGTTACTTTTGAACAATGGATCCCAGTCATCAACTTCGGAAAGCCGAATTGGAAAGATCGTTTAATTTAAGATTCTTTTGTGTGTGTTGGTGTTATGTACTCAGGTGAATATGATGTTTTGTGGTTTTACTCTGAGTGTGCATCCACCCCGGGCAAGCTGAAAAGTTTGAAAAGTTGGCCACGGTGGGAATCAAACCCACACTAACACACACAACAGTATATCTTAGAATACATTGATATCGAAGGAACTAGACTCAGTTCCGAAATATCACCAACTCGAACCGACTTGACCTCGTAGCTCAGTTGGTAGAGCATTGGACTAGTATCCCAAACTTTTCAGCCTGCCCGGTGTGGATATACACTCAGAGTAGCATCAAAAACATCTTTTAAGAATGATAGAAAAATTGACAGTCTCGGAAAAGGTGGCGTCTTTTTTATGTCTGGTCACAGTTTTCCAGAATAGAGTGGTTTTGAAGCTGGATTTTGTCAGATGCTGCCCAGCCAACAGACACTCAAGTGACTCAATTCAAGTGATAAAATTCTATTAAATTTGCTCTTGATCAAAATAATATTAAATATGGAAAAAGAATGTTGTGCTATCATTTTAAAACCCTCTCTAATAAAAGTATATTTTCGCAACGTCCCCTTAATAAAATGAAGAAGTGGATTAGGATATACAAAGATAAATAGTCTAGGCTAACTTATGTAATAGCATAGTTGCCCGGGTTTCTTTTGTTTCAACAGGTACCATTACTAACTAATCGCCGCTGTAGCGGGCGATTAGTTCTAATCGCCCGCTAGTCGCTAGAGCGGGCGATTAGAACTAATCGCCCGTTACCAAGGGTCACACCTTTGTCTCCTTGACGACTACGCATTAGGCAAGTGCCTCACGCACATAATCGTGCAAGGAACAGCAACAGTTAGCTCAGAGCCGTCAATAGTCTATCATCCGATCCCTGAGTTGCCGCATCATTTAAATTACGCACGTGCAGTCTCCAAATTTATACTAATATATTTAGCGTGTTTGTTGTGGTACGTTAAATGATAGATTGCGCATGCGTAACCGATTAAAGCGTAAAAAGTGCGCATGTGCAACAAGCTTTTACATCCCACAAGCAATGAAGCAAATGTTTTAGATTAAATACGCTGATTCCAAGTAGGGCATGTTTGTCCATTTTTAAATGGGAGCGAAACTATGCTATTACAAACTAATAGCATGGCTTTTCGGGAGATTAGTGATTAAATGACCCCTTACCCTCGGCAGGTTTGCGGAATTCCCTCGGGCTTCGCCCTCGGGGATTCCGCAAACCTGCCTCGGGTTACGGGGCCATTTAATCACTAATCTCCCTCAAGCCATGCTATTACTTATAAATATATATATATATATATATATATATATATATATATATATATATATATATATATATATATATATATATATATATATATATATACCGGTATATATATATATATTAATCAACTCAACACATAACGTTTCGACTTTATTGTCTTCATCAAATATAATCCTACTTTACAGGCGAACCCAATTTATACCCTCCCAATTTTGCTAATTATGCAACAGGTGGGAAATTTGTCGTCGCTGACCAAAAAATTGCGGGCAGAAACAAAGCTCATTGCATTTACATTCAAAACAAAGCAGAAAGATAGCAAGAAGCGGTTTTAGCTGACGATTTTTTGCTTTCCATCCAACGATTTACAAATTATTGGTTATTCTTTTAAAAGTCGATCATGAATTCTTTGTTTTGGGATGATTGTTTTGTAATCGAGTGATTGGAAGAAGTTGATATGGCGACGTGAACATGGGAGTAAATACCGTATACGTCGATCTATGGCTTGTTTAAAACCGTAATAAACGAACAAAGACGTGATTTGAGAATGAAATGTAAGTTGAAATTAACTTTATATGCCTCAAATTTTCCATCCTATGTTTCTTAATGTAACTTCAGCTGTCTAAGTTCAAAATACGAGCTCGCGAAATTTGACAAATTTTGAAAATATGTAAAAATAGCTTGACTTTGAACTGTATTTTCTCAAAAATAGCCCGTGGCCTCAATTTCAAATATAGCTAAATGAAAAGAAAAAACTTTTCGGCGTTTGTAGGTATCAAACATATCGTCAGGAAAATAGGGGCTCACAATGTTTTAGCTGAGTCTTTAGACCCAGTTGCTTCGCACGTGTTGTGGTCAAATTTTTGCCAAGAATCAAAGGCCGAAATGTGAACTTCCTTCATGAAAACCGGCTCGAGAAGGGTCTAGTTTGAAAATTTAGCTATTAATTTCGATTTCATGAGCATATTTTGGTTACACGTTAAGTATTTTTGTGCTTGATGAGATTCAAAATTTGTTGTATATTCAAGCCCGGCTTTTGTGTAATTTTGGTGATGACCGGAACAGAAATAAAGATATTTTAAAAACTGGCCGTGGCCTCACGATAAAACTTTCTACAAATGTTCTCTGTTTCATGTACTTTTATTTGATATCTTAGGTACAAGCGTAAAAATAGGGGCTCATACAGTTTAAAAGGTTGTAAAATGCATGACTTGCTTCTATTTTCATGTAAACATTTGAAATTCTTCGACAGCAAAGTAGCAACTGTTTTAGATCGAATGCACACGGACAGCCCACCAGAGACAATGGCAGGGTACTGAAATAGAACGTCACTAAAAAATTCTGTATGATTAATTTAGATCATGTCTACTCTTTCAACATAAAACAGTAATTTATTTTGTACAAACATTTGGCAATATCTACACGATTGTGCCTTTTTGTAAACACGCGTTGCGTGTATTCCACGCCATTGCGTGGTTCATTTTACTCGCGCATGCTCAGACAAATTTCCCACCTGTAAAAAGCTCTTGTTGTAATAATGTATGTCACTAGTTGAGACTCTCAAAAATAAAGTCTCAAAGAGAGAGCGGACTTCGGTCAAAAAACACGCAAACGACTTTGCAAAATTTCCAGGTGTAAATTCAAATTGGCCAGGTGTTCTAAGAACGACTTTCCTCGACGGCGTCTGTTTTAATAATTTGCCCATTGTCTTGACTTATTCAAGACCAGATTGTTTAGGCAGAAAGCCTTGGGTTGACAGGGAAGTATTTGGGAGAAATGTTCGGAGGCATTTGACAATCAACTGCTTTATACTAGCTGATTCACTGCCTGTGTCTCAACGAACGTCTCGCTGGGCTAACCTTAAGTTGTTCAACGTTTGAAACCGCAAGTGATGCAAACGCGGTTAGATAAATTGTCAGCCTGAACTAGACTTATTTTACTCTCTCTGCAAAGATCAGCAAGGCATACGTCGAAGTTTTCCCTTGTACTTCTTTGGAAAAGGTTTATTATTATAGCTGACGAAGACAAAGTATCGGTATATTACATGTAAACTTTTATCAAATCCCGTTGGAAGTACAGTTAATATTGCTAACCTTCGCTCATCCTTCAACGTTAATTTAAATTGAAAGGTTTCTCAAATACATTTAGTTACTTCTTCGAAGAGATAAACAAAGTCATGGTTTTATACGCCACTGATTGAATGCCAGCTTTAAAATTACATTGCGAAATGTCGTACGAGTTAAATATTTGCACGATATTAACTCATGGGGCACTTCTGACCAATGGGAATTTTGCGTACGCTCCGTACGCATAAATCGACTTTTTACTAATAAAGGTCGCAGGCCGTTCCTCCCATGCAGCCTCTGCCTGACAACGGCCTGCGAGCAGGCTAGCCACACGATGGATACTTCAAGTGAAGATAGGAGAGATCTCATACAAAGATCGTTTGTTGGTCCTTGATTCTGCCACTATCTTACGATAGAGAGATAATTAAAGGACTTAACATTCTTTTTTAAAGCTATGTATGGATGTTATGATTTGACTATTTCTGATTACGTGTCATTCGTAAGCCAAAGCCGTACTCGTAATTGTGTAAATCTAATGCCTAATGCTCAAAGTACCTTTGTATAAAACAAGTACACTCGTAATTGTGTAAGTCTAATACCTAATGCTCAAAGTACCTTTGTGTAAAACAAGTACATTCCAGTCATCGTACTTTAATCGTATCCTTCCCCTTTGGAACCGTATGCTATTGCTTGAATATTTTTTTAAAATTTTATATTCAATTGTTCTTTACATCATTTCAAGGTATTATTGCTCTAACTAAATTTTTAAGCATCATAAATCTTAGCTTTGATTTTCGAGTTGGTGGCATATGATTATTTCTGACCGTAGTCACTGTGCGGTAGTTATGTATATTCTACATGTATTGTCTGTTGTTGTATCTTTAATCGGAGGAGTGCCTCGCATTGGACTTTGAGTCCCGTTCGCACTCCTACCGTTTGGTCACTATCCGATAAAGTATTGCAAACTAAATCAGCTAAAAGCAAATCCAGCACAACAACCTGAACGGCAGAGCTGTTACTATCAATGACATTTTTTCAATGGCTGGGAAAAATAGAAGAACAAACACAAGCTACGCCTTTGGAAAGACCATTGTCACCGTGATGGCAGATCTGTTCATAGAATAATCTGAAAAGAAGGGGCGTAGCCAACGTCAAGCAGGTAGCTGGAGATCTAATTGTCGAACTGTGATAAACTAGGAGATCCGGTTGCTTGGAGGAATCATTTCCCGGAAAATTTTTCTATCTAGGATCTGCGAAGTTATTTCTGAAAGCCATAAATTTGGTTTTATGTCATAAATGAAAGCATTACCAGGTTATCGCTCCCCACCAATTTATCCTCAGTTTCGGACGAATTACCAAATTGGCCCAGAAGTAAAGTGGGAAGCTATGCATCTGCTAAAAGCAAATCCTAGCGCCTGAATAGCTTGAGGAGCTGGTTTCATAGTCTAGATAAACGTCAACTTTGAATAGAAGCAATAGTTCGCATGTATTCTTTGCTTAAAGTACGAAAGATATACAACAGGATGATAAAACAATTCCGTTCTTATTTTATGTCTTGTTCATATCAATGCAGAAAACTGACCATTAGGATACATGATTTATAGAAAACCTAATCACAGTGATTGATATCTAAATTAAAATTCCTTTCGCCACCCAGCATCAATAATTCTGTATTCAAGATTCTGGAATTTTTTCCAAGTGACATTAATATAGTGAATTAGAACATTTATAAATGCTTTGAAAATGAATGGTTATCATGTGTATTTCATATATCAGGCTACAAATCGTCTGTATGTTTATACCATACATTGGTTCTGCTTCGCACAGAATCGAGAGGATCTTGTATGAACAAATTATGTTCATACAATAAGTATACCATTTCTGCAGAACTAATTATTAGTTTGTGCTCATTTGACACAGAAAGACAGCGGAGAAGAAATTCAGAAACCTGGTGAGTAACACATCTATGTGAATGTAGTTTAATTTATATCGGAGATACTTGTCGGAATTTCCAATATGTCTGAGAGAACATAAGATAATTTTTTTTCATTTGTGCGCTAATTAAAACTACACATTGTAGTGTCTAGCATAATTAGCATAATGAACAGAAAATTTTTCAAAATAAAAATCGAAGGTGTCCAGAGGAGAGCAACAATGTGGATCCTCACGAAAAAACGTGGAGAACTTTCTTATGTGGAACTGTTAAAAAGCTCAATCTGGTCCCGCTTGTGTACGATAGAGAACAGAAAGATTTGATCTCTTGTTATAAATGCAAGAACAATTTGATAGATCTTGACGTGGAACATTATGTTGAAACTACGACAAGCAGAACACGTGCGGGAACTTCTCAGCTTTTAAGATTACAAGCTTGTAAGACTAGCACATTCCAGGGTTCCTACTTTGTTAGGATTGTAAATCTGTGGAACTATGCATGTAAAACTGCTCCTTTGAACAGCTTCGACACTCTCTCCTCCTTCAAAAGATACCTCCACAAGACTTACCTCCAACTTACTGCCACTGCTTACACTCCTGACTTACCTAGCTCACACTCATTGATCACGACTGAATAATATCTTCTATATCAGTCGTTCTCTTCTTCTCTCTCTTAATTTCTTTATTTCTTCTCATGTACTTTTTCTATTCTATATTAATGTGATGTTTTGTCTGTACTGTCCTGATTAATTAATGGTGAGCACCATGCATGGGACCTAGTCTCGTTTGTGCTTCTCCATCTTTGGCACGTTTTTACATATTGTTATTCTTGTGTTAATTTGTGCAGTTATGTACAATAATGTGTACCTGTTTGCATGCGTGCCAAACAAAGCTGTTAAAAAAATTAACAAGAACATTAATTATAGACCACAAGGAAGTAAGCAAGATGGCGATACAGCATGCAACTGTAATATAAGTTCTGTTAGAGATTATTAAAGAAAGTATAAATAGCAATGTTATAGACAACATTATACACATTATCACGTAAAATGATGAATTTTGTGTTCAGCAAATTTTTATTCCAAATGACATAAACAAAAAATGGATAATTAATAAAGACGCTTTTAGTTAAAAAGAACACGTAAATATAATGTAGGCTTACATTATTTGCGCTAATTACGATCCGGCTTACTGATTTAATTTATAATTTATTTAATTTAATTTATTTATTACACTTTGCCTCAACATGCAGGCTTGGAAACCGCAACAGCTACGGCCATTTACTGCGGATCCATTATGATACATCAAGTTTAATATAAACTAACAATAAATAACGATTACAATTACCAACAAAACATACAAACATATACAGACATTAACGACATTAAAGCTACGTTTACACACCGCGATCCACCGCGTACAATTCACCCTCTGGCGTATGTCATGATGATAAACACGCGTAAGCTGGCTACATTTGTAATTTATGAATTATGGCACCAGCACTCATTGATCGAAAGCTTTCCTTGATAAAAATACGTGGGTTTAACACCAAACAAACGGTTACAGTAAACAGTTCAGCAAACAATCGTACAAGAAACATATATTTGATTTTCCTAATGTGAACTTTTTGTTTCAAAACTTTTCTTTTTTTTGTATAATTAGCTAGCATGTCGTAGATGTCTCAAGAACCTCAAGAACCTCAAGAACCTCCTTCTCCCGCAAGAACCTCCTTGTCGAGTCAAGACCCCACGATAAGTCGGGCAAAGACGTTTCCAAATGCCCTATTTGCCACAACTCATCTATTCCCGTGCCGTGCTCACAGAAAGACGTCGTCTATTTAATTAACTGCGATCTGTGTGGACGAGGCTATGTTGGTGAAACCAGTAGACCTTTAGTCGTCCGTTATAAAGAACATTATCGCCCCGCAGCTAATCCCACAACACCATCATATAAGAACATGGCTTTTTCCAGACACTATATCGAGTGCCACCCTGGACAGGAACCAATGTTAACTGTGAAAATTCTGAGGAAAACAAGTGGTTCATTCGACCGAAAGATCACAGAAGCATTATTCATCCAGAAGCTAAAACCAGA